TGCAGGTTTCAAGAGTAATAAACAGAAGACAAAGATGTTAACAAAAATATGAAAACAGAAGATCAAACAGAATTGATGAATTAAACAACTTTTAAGATTGAGAAGAAGATAAAATATCTGGGTGTCACTATAACATACATGAACTGAATGTTGCTTCAAAATTACTATGTTAAGACATGGAATGGAGTTAAGATGGGGCAAAGTGCAACTGTCACTGTTGGGGAGAATTTCTGTGATAAAAATGAATGTCTTGCCTAGAATGTTTTTGTTTCAGACAATATCTGTTTTGACAACTGATGCACCATTGCTAAAATTACACCAGTGTAATTGCTAAAATGTATAACTTATTGAAATCTGAAACAGAAGAACAACAAGTGGAAGAATGTATGATAAAGTGGGCTAAACATTTTGGTCATAGTATACAGATGGAATAATGGGAAAATATGTGGTTGAAAGGACTGAAATGTACACTAAGTTATAATCTTAAAGAGAATTTTTATAAAATGATGTACCATTGGTATACGTCACCACAGAAATTGTGTAGAATGTATAAAGGCACTTCAAATTTATGTTGGAAATGTGAACAACATGAAGGGACATTTTATGTTTGGTGGATGTGTAAAAAAGCTAGAAAATTCTGGATTCAAATATACACACTGATTCAGAGAATTTTAAGGATTAATATACAATTGAGACCAGAGGTTTTTCTTTCAGGATTGATGGACAAACAGTTGGAAAAAAGTCACAGAACTTTGTTTTTGTACGATAACCGCAGCGAGATTATTGTATGCACAAAGATGGAAAGATTCGGCACTGCCCACAATGGACGAATGGTTGGTGAAGATGATGGAACTTGCTGAAATAGCTAAACTGACTTCTTTGATCAGAGAAAAGACAATTATCTACATTTATTGCTGACTGGAAACCCCTTATGGACTTTTTGCATGAAACAGAAAAAAATGAACTTATGATTTATGGCCTTGATTATTAGACAGGATAGATTATAGATAGAAGAGAGTTATGTTATAACCATAGCATAAGAGGTAAATTTATAGTTGTACTTATAATTGCTGTAAAGAAGATCAGAAGCCATGTTTTGTATCTTTTTTCTTTCTTTTCTATTTTTCTTTCACTATTTTCCTTTCTTGCATTTCTAGCTTTCTCGCTGATTTCTTTTTCTTACTTTATATTAGTTTGTATTAGTTTTTATCTTCCTTTTTAAAAATCTTTAATAAAAATATATTTAAAAAAACAAGGAACACTGCAGCATTCTGAGAAAACTGGCAGCTATTTTGTTTCTTTTTCTTACTTTATATTAGTTTGTATTAGTTTTTATCTTCCTTTTTAAAAATCTTTAATAAAAATATATTTAAAAAAACAAGGAACACTGCAGCATTCTGAGAAAACTGGCAGCTATTTTGTAAATAGGCATGCCCACACCCCATCTTCAGAAACATTTTGGGAGAGCATCCACAAAAGCTTGTCCAAAGTGTCTACTCCCCCCCCCCATCTCTACTGCACATCATGCACAGCAAACTACAGCGTGAGAAGGGAGAATTACTGAGAACCTGACCCAGAGAAGAAGTGATACCTCCTTTCTCCTAAAAATCTGTGCCATTCCCCACCCAACTCCTTTTAGTAAAAATAAATAATATTTATTT